CAAAGGCTGCCCGAGCTCCCCGAGAGGTGACCTAGGTCTCTGTCAAAAACAATAATCTATTTGTAAATAGCACTTGTGGTTGCAAATACCGTCAGTCCACTCGACTCGCTGGGTTTCTGCAGTCCCGCGGGGGGGGGGGGGGGGGGGGGGCAGAACCTGGGCACAAACATGTGAGCTCCAGCCGGGCAGCCGTCCAATATCAACCAAGAAATTCTTAGAAAGAAAGGACGTACTTAGTAGAAACAACCTACTAATTCCGGTCTAATCCCAGGAAAAACAAGCAAGAAAAACAATAAAGGCAATCTAAATTACTTTAATGATACGTTTATTTGTTTTTAATTTTAAAAAGTGTCCTGTAACAATAATTACACATTTAGAAGTGACAAAATGATAGTAATTATCAGCACACACAAAAACTTCAAAATTATTTTCTAACTTAAATTTATAATCTCCAGATGGGGTTCCACTGTAATAAACATTTCAAAAAAAAAAAAGAAAGAAAAACTCCGTATTTTTTTTTAAACTCCATATTTTTAACAAGATGAGTAAACACCAAAAAATAGGAAGTTCCACCCAGTTAAAAATTTAAAAGCTTGAAATTCTATGAGGCAAATTTTTACATAACTTTAAACTATGTCATTATTTGAAGTTAATTTCAATTAACGATTTCATTGCAACTGAATCCATCTTATATAAGAAAGCTAAGACACATCTTGATAATCTACCTTTCCCTCCTATTTTTCATCTACCGGCAAATCCTGTTGATTTTACCTCCCACATTTTCCTTGAATTTGTTGTCTTCTATCTTTTCCATCACTGTCCTAATCTAAACTACCTTTGTGGGGAGAGAGAATACTAATCTAGTCATCTAATTGGTTTATTCACATGCTTCTCGCCCCTCTTTAATGTCTTCTTCACATAGGCTATGTAAGGCTACAGGACCCTGTCATTTCCCAGCAGAGACAACTTCAATAGCTTCCTCTCTGAGACAACACCCCTTAACTAACCAAGCCCTGCATAGTCAGGTGCCTTGCCCACCTCTCCACTTCTTCTCACTGCTCAGACCACATTCCATCCTGCTGTCCCTGTCCCAGCCACACTGGTCTCTTCCAATCCCTCAAAATTTCCTCTCTCCACAGAGCTTTTGCATGTGCTTGTTTGCTCTGTGCCTGGGAAGCTCGTCAACCTTCATTCTTCTGATCTCAGCTCTAATATCTAACTCTGAGAAGCACCTTCACAGGGCTTTGGTACCTTCCTAATACACTGCACTGACACTAATTGTATGATTATTCTGGTGAATTTTTGTTTCCCCCGCTAGACTACTGCTTCCATAAAACCAGGAACTTGGTTTTCTTTGGCTCATGGTTGTATTTCCATAGTTGTTCAATACATACTTGTTTAATCAATGAATGAGACTGCTACAACTTGAACAAGATGTGACTTAAAGGTTACGTATGTCATAGAAGGGCAAACTGTCACAATTTGACATTTGAAATCAGAGTCTAAAAAGAACTCCAGCTACTTTAAAACTGACTTTATATCTTTTTAGGTGGGTTGTCACAGGTCCTTTGGGTAACCTTCAAACCTGAGTTCTCAAAGCGCTTTGTATAAACCCCTGAATGTGATAGCTATAGGATGGACTCACATGAAACTAATAACATTGTTGCTCCAACGGAGGAAGATTGGGTGACTAGGGGACAGCCTGGGAAGGAGACTTAACTGCCTGCCCTTTTGTACCTTTTCAATTTCAAACCATTGAATATATTACCTATTCAAAAGTAAATAAATCACGCAAAGAATGCACACTGTATGATGCTACTTGTTTGAAATTCTAGAAAAGGCAAAACTAATATTTGTTGAAAAAATCATAACTGGTTGCCTCTGGCCCAGAAGTGATGGGGAAGGAGCATGAGGGAACTTTCTGGGTGATAAAAATGGTCTATATCTTGATAGGGTGTGAATTACACAGGTGTATGCACTCTGTCAAAAACATACAGTTCACATTTAATGTAAATTTCACCTAAAATCTGTATAAAATAAATAACATCTATTATTTTTAAAATAAGCTAACACACAGTTGAGGACTCGGTGTATGAGTATTGGCTAAGGGCTGTACCTACATTATTTCTGTTAGTCTTCATACTGTCCTCATGAGGCCGTTATTATTATTACCCCCTTGCATATGAGAAAACTAAGACTTAACAAATACCAAGTAACCTGCCCCTATTTTTACGAGTGGAAAATGGTGGAGCAGAGCTTTGAACCCAGTTTGTCTCATGGCAGAAGTGGTTTAGTATATTACTTACCCTCAAGAACTTTGCAATTATTGAAATCAGATTTTGTCTTAGGCTTCGCAGTAGCCCCAGCACTTTGCATAGCACTTTTTCAGTATACACTGAGTGGCCAGATTATTATGACCACCCCATCAGTACAATGAAGTGAATTAGTTATGCAAACAATAATAATAATAAAACCTTGAGAATATTTGCTTAGGAAGTTTTCAATATTCAGTATTTTTGGAAGTGTCAATGAAGTACTGATGGGGTGGTCATAATAATCTGGTCGGTCATAATAATCTGGCCACTCAGCGTATATTGAATAAATGATAAAGAACAAGCTTGGTGTTGATTTTATTGGTACAAATTATGTGTTTTTTAATTAATACTGTGTGTGTAGTCTAGTCTAAATAATCAGCACCGCTGTGCTAAGTTCCTGAGATGTATTATCTCAAATGAGGTCATTGGCCTGAGGAGACAAGCTTGTACCATTAGCTCTGAGCTTCCAGCACTACCCCTCATTTATTCCTTACCTTCACTCACCCTGAGCTCAACAATTTATATGATGAAACAGCTTACACTTTGATTTTTCGCTGAAATAGCTAAATCTAACCAGAGAAACAGCTCATTCTAACCTCTCACAAGCACTTGAGCACTTGCGTAAGTGAAATTCCATTGTGTGAATTCCACACCAACACCACCTCTGCTCCAGCTCTCTGCCACGCTGCTCTTCACAGTCTGGAACTTCGAACTACAACAGGGGATAGAGGAAGAATGGGTGCAGTGAGCAGTGCCCCCTCAGAAAAGTTTCACTTAAGGTAAATTCAGTTGGCAATTCATAGTTGTCCGTGTTCAAATGCTGCACACCCTCAGCATTGATTTGTGTCACTGTCACAGAAAGGAAGGTCTGAGCTCTATCTCTAAATCCGGCAAGAACACCATGCTCTCAGCTGCCGAAGGTGTTTTATAAGTCAGCCTTGTGAACCTCACCGCTCAAGAAAGGAAAAGCAAGGGAGCCGTTCCCCTGAGACGCAAAAACTGTCCAGGGTACAGAAGAGGAACTCACCGGTGGAGTCAAGCCACTGATGAATAACACCCCACCCTCACCCTGGGCAGCTGGCATTTGGGGCTTCCTTGGAGAACCAGGCCCTCGCAGTGACATTCTAGGATTGCTGTGTCCAAAACAGCACGTGACTGTTTACGTTTAAACTTCCACTAAAATTTCAGTTTCTCTCACACATTTCAAGTCAAGTGCTCGATAATAGCCACATGTGGCCACTAGCGGCTATCTTGCACAGTATCAGAAAGTTCCATCCATCACAAAGTTCTCTTGGCAGCACTATTCTAGAAAAAGGAAACAACACTCCTTTGAGACTCGCAGCTAATGTTCAAATATTTTCTTTGCTTTGGAAAAATGAAGGCCAACAATAAAATAGCCAACAAAGCAATAGCACTTGGCTCATTGCTTTCCACAACACGACAGCAAAAGGCAATCAAGATTGCACAAAAGCTGTGGCCTCTCCATGTATTGAGATTCTCAGAATGGCTTTAGCCTCACCAGTTTACCTCCATCACATTCCATTGTTTGTGAGGCTCATTATCTTAGGAAAGAAGACAATTCTGCTGACATCCCTTGGCATTGGTGTACAGGGGGAAACTAGATCTGCCACAGCTGTGGTGAAGAACAGGCTCGCTGGCTCTGGGGTTTGGACATGGTTTCTTTATGTGATACTAAGACATTCACACTATCAACCCAATACAGCTTTTGAAATTGCGCCACCAAAATGGGACATCAATAGATTGCCAGTTTCCACCCCACCCACCAAAAGGAGAAGTTCATTCTTTTCTTGACTTTCTGAAATATCTGTTTTAAAGCAAGGTAAAGTTTAGTGCAAATAGAGTAGTAATTCCACTTAAACTTTCCAATTATCTGGGAGTTAGTAGCCTCTGTATTAATGCAAGTGACTAGATTATGACCTAAAATTTCAAGTGTGCTTGCCAAAGTGTGCTTAACTTCTTCGAGCTCCAAACTTCTCATCCATAAACTGGAGATAATAATAACAATATCTACTTAAGTACTAAAGTGACAATCCAATAAAATCATATATGCAAGGCACAAAGCATTCAACCAATGGCAGCTATTATAATTGCTATTATCCAAAATCACAAAGCACCAACGTGCAAAATGTAAAAGACAGATTTTAAAAAATGACTCTGAAGTACAAAAATCCTGACTTTACCACTTGCTAATTGTCTGGCCTTTATCCTCCGTAAGCTTCAGTTTCTTGATCAGGCAACTAAGGATAAGAGTTGCTAACAACAGATGTGTTGGCAAAATGTGTTATTTTATGTGAAAATGGTTTAATAACAGTAAGTCAAGTACAAATTTCTGGCCCAACTCCACAAAAACGAGAAGGAAACTATGTTAGGAAGGTGTTGCTTTACAGTAAAATTAATTTAGCTTTTATTATGGACTGTACTCCTTAACATGACGGGGAAGCAACCACTGCTGATGTCATCACTGAAAAGCCACACTGCCATCAACATTGCCATCAAATAGAAATTGTGAGCTAATACTGTGGTAACCAGTCATCTTAGTCAGCTGCTCTTTCTCCACATGAGAAATTTGAAGCCTGTACAGACATGTCAGGTCTCCTCTGAGAATGTGCATTCAAAAAAGATAGCCAACAGGCACTTATAGCAAAGAGAGGAATGCTATTGAATTACAAAGTCAGTTACTAATAGATTTTTCTTACAGGCGTGGAATTAAACCTAACACTTCATAAATTCTTGTTCATCATTCGAATGGCCACAATACAATGAGATAATATTCTTAAAATAAAACAGAAGAAATGTTAACAAGCTGTTCCTGTGTTTTGAAGATTAAGGGGAAAAAAAACCTAACTCAATAACAAAATATTTCCTGTTGCAGTAATAACATTTTTTGTGTGTTAATATAAAATTAAATGTTGTT